TTGGGGGGGGGGGGATTGGGATATATACATCATCTGAAAGCTGAATAAATAAGCTTTCCATTGATGTATGATTTCTTAGGATAGGACAATATTTGGTCGAGATACAACTATTGGAAAATCTGGAATCTGAGGGTGCAAAAAAAATCTAAATAGAGAAGATCACCTTTAAAGTTGTCCACATGAAGTTGTTAGCAATGCATATTACTAATCAAAAATTAAGTTTTGATATTTACGGTAAGAAATTTACTAAATATTTTCATGGAACGTGACCTTTACTTAATATCCTAATGATATTTGGCATAAACAAAAAAATAGATAATTTTGACCCATACAATGTATTTTTGGCTATTGCTATAAAAATACCTGTGCAACTTAAGACTGGTTTTGTGGTCCAGGGTCACATATATTCCCATATAGCTACATTAGTACCTGAAGCTACTTGATAGCTAATGTCAAAATTGTAATTGCACAATGTGCAAAATGCAAGATTTAATTTCCAAAGGTTTGCACGTCTACTCAGTCACATACACATTTAACCAAGTTTTTCATTTTGGTTCAATTCTGACGGCCTGGCACATCAGGTTTTTTTTTTTTTCCCCGATTCAAATATATATATAAAAAAAACTCCAGTACACTTTAATTAAAACTCCAGTACACATCTGTAAAAAGACATGGACTATCATTTTTTTTTTTTTTTGAGAGAAGTATTATTTGTTTTTTATTTTTTAATGGACTGGCAATTACTTAGCACTATAAACACATGCAATGTCCGTTTCATCCATACTGGAGGCCCTCGTGCAGAAAATCCACATATACATCACAGAAGTAATAGAACTGATGACGCTCCAGGAAATCCGTAATGTACAACCCCAATTCCAGAGAAGCTGGGACGTTTTGTTTAACTTTTATTTAATTGGCGAAAGTACAAAGAAAAGATTTCCAAAGTTTTCACTGACCAACATAAATGTATTTTGTAAATATGAACAAATTTTGATTTTGATGGCTGCAACACACTCAATAAAAGTTAAAGAGAACAAACAAATCACAGATTCTTGATTTTATTGCATTTTTACAAAACGTCCCAACTTCTCTGGAATTGGGGTTGTACAAAGGCATCCAGCTATGACTGTAGCTAAATTAAAAGAGAGAAACGTTTTAAATGATGAAACAAACATTCGACTGCGACTTTAGCCCTGTTTCCACGCAGGAACCAGGATCTAAATAAAGTTCCGGGTAAAAATGTGCCTCTCAGAAAGTCCCTGCTCGTGAGGTAGCCTAGTACTTTTTCAAAGGTTCGGAACTTTTGGGGGCGGGACTTGGACGCTGAACATGCTGATTGGTTGAGTTCACGGAAATCCGTAATGTACAACCCCAATTCCAGAGAAGCTGGGACGTTTTGTTTAACTTTTATTTAATTGGCGAAAGTACAAAGAAAAGATTTCCAAAGTTTTCACTGACCAACATAAATGTATTTTGTAAATATGAACAAATTTTGATTTTGATGGCTGCAACACACTCAATAAAAGTTAAAGAGAACAAACAAATCACAGATTCTTGATTTTATTGCATTTTTACAAAACGTCCCAACTTCTCTGGAATTGGGGTTGTACAAAGGCATCCAGCTATGACTGTAGCTAAATTAAAAGAGAGAAACGTTTTAAATGATGAAACAAACATTCGACTGCGACTTTAGCCCTGTTTCCACGCAGGAACCAGGATCTAAATAAAGTTCCGGGTAAAAATGTGCCTCTCAGAAAGTCCCTGCTCGCGAGGTAATACTTTTTCAAAAGTCCGGAAATGTTGGGGGTGGGACTTGGGCGCTGAACATGCTGATTGGTTTAGTTCACGCAGTACTGTATTTCAACCACAATATATTCGAATAATTGTTTTTAAATATTACTGTTATTGAGTCATGAAATGTAGTTTTAAAAGTATTTCAGGCAAGAATGTAGTTGCAAACTCAAATCTGCGGTTTATTTATAAAGACAGCGCTTATTTGAAAATGTGCTTCGCCGATTTTGGAGACGTGAGCTCCACGCGATCAGCGGGTGCTTAGTGCTCAATGTTTCCCGACGAGAGCAGCCTCAACTCGGCTAGTCCTTCTGACATTTGCCGCTGGATCTGATGTCTCTGTAGTGGTTAAACATAAGATATAATTAGTTTGGGGTAAATCTAACAGGTAATCTTTGGTCTTTATTCTATTAATCTATTATGTTGTTAAAATTAAAATGAAAAGAGGCAATACTG